AACTAGAAAATCGACGTTACTTACATTGAAAGCGATCAGCAAAGCAACGACGAGAATATCCACAGCCAGCGTTTCCTTCTAATCGTGCTTCTTTTTCATTATCATTTCTTGCTGATAGTCTAGCTAGGCGTTATAGAAATGAAGCGTTGAATACGTTTGTATGAGAGAAACAAAACTCGAGTTCATTTTAGAGCTTCGAAAATGTAGAGCCCTGATCAGAACATGAACGTTAAAGTTGATACATGACAGTTGCCTTTATGCAATGTACGAATTACTCCGTTACACACGTAACGCACGCAACGCAACGCAACATGGACTAACCAATGCTGAACTTCAAGTATAATCATAATAATCCATCCATAAAAAAAACCAGAACGACTTGAAATATTGAATTTATCGATATCAATTTTTCTTGTAAATAAAAATACTATTTTAATTGCAAAATATCAGTTTTTTAAGTATCCATATAAATATATTTTCATTATTTCGTATTTTAATGTTCTGATATATTTAATTTCTCCATTACATACATTATATAAATAAATACTGGGTTGGGAGTTAGCATCAGGGTATCATTTGACCTGGAACTGGACGATTAGAGTAGTATGACAACCGGAGTCTAGGAGGGAAAAAACACTATCATTTTCTTTATCCTACCGATTCGATTGTGATGGTGTGAATTCTAATCCAACAGTTTCAGGGAGATTGACGCGCCCTTCTTAACAAACCATCCTGTAGGAAGCTTAATAAGTATTGCGAATTGCGTTATTCGATTCGTGGATCGTATCGTTGAAAGGAGATTCTTAAATTCCCGTGGATTTCACGTAACCAGCCCCCGGTTTAGGCCCTTCATATAGCGATATTGTGAATTCAGATCGGTAGCTCAAATTGAACTTGCTATTACAAGACAAGATCTTCGAAGGGATGGTGGCTACCTTCCATACATGCATACATACAATTTAGCTACACAATTCCGGAGAACTTCGAAATTAGGGCGTAATTGCTTTTGTAAACAAACACGTCATTTGCCGATTTCTCTCGAATTAAAGCTCAATCTCAAAAACAGGTTAATTGCTCTATCATTTGGTATAGTTTGTTCGCGAGATTGTGTTTTTATTCGCGAGAAATCAGCGATGGATATGTTTGTATACAAAATCAATTACGCCCAAATCTCATAGTTCTCCGGAATTGTTAAAAGTACCGCTAAATGTCTAAGGAATGAGCATTGAAATTGTACGAATTACCCATAAACATTTTAAAAATGATCCATAAATCGTTCAACAATAAACCAGATACTAACGAAATTAATCCGAAGAAAATCAAGTTTGCGCTCTAAAAAATATAGGAATGGTCCACAAGACATATATTTTTCATGGCTTAGGACATTAATAAACCTTAGGAAAGTATTTTTCATAAGAAGAGCGGAACGATGGGCCAAAGTCTAGAATAAGCTTCTAAAATAAACTTCTAGAATAAGCTTCTTAAAGGGTTACGCTTACCTGCAAACTTTCAAAAAATCGATTTTTTTTTATTGTCCTAATCGAAAGTATATAAAGTCAAGAATATTTCCTTCCTAAAGATCAAGTTGATCCGATGAAAATTGTGAAAGTTATGCGACGTACAAAAATATTCACTTATAGTGGGCTAAACCCAACTTGAAACTTTAAACGCGATTATCTCGGAATCATATTTTCAAAACCGGTGCCAAAAATTTCTCGAAATGTATACATTCGATTCGTCCAATTCGTTTTGATTTCTGTTCAGTACTATTTTGTGCAGTCCACGATCGTTCGGATTTCGTCTATCATTTAATTTCGATTTTTTGCAGCCGATCAAAGACAAATTTTAAGGATCAAAAATCGGCACTTCAACTTTGCAAGGCCGCCATTTTGTCAAAAAAATTTAAAAAAAAAACTGAACGATCAAGGACTAGTTTAACACATGCTTAACGATTTGGCATGTTTTTTTTTTTTATTTCAGATGATTACATCACAAACCGCAGTTGGCACCGCAAAAAGCGTTTTTTAGAACATCGTCCACGGGGAGCAGCCGTGCGGGGCACCAGGACCATGTTTTTACAGCATCGACTGATAAATGTACCATTTAATGTTGAACACATAAACGGCAGAAAACCAATTTTCAATATGTTGCGTCGTTTTCGAGAAAAAAAAATCCAAACTATCGCTTTTTTTCGGTCTTGCAGGTAGGCGTAACCCCTTAAAGATGCTTCTAACGATTCTAAAAGAAGCATCCAGAAGAAGCAACACTTTCGTCGATCTCCAACGAAACAGTATAGGCAAACTTCCCGTTCCCGATGAAAAGATTCTGATGATTGTCAACAATCTCCTGTGTAGTTGAAGATGCTAATTTCAAATAACAGACTAAAGTGGTAATTTTTATACGATAGATGAGGAGGAGATGAAAGGTACAGTAGCAGCTCCTACCCCACCCGTGTCCCCTCGAGATCGTTAAGTCGACGATGACAGGAGCACATACCGTGGTAGGGATAACAATAGCTGCAATTTCCAAACCTACGACTGGATGCCTTCCTTCAAATAACAACTTAAGTGCGGTAAAATCGATAGAACTGTTTCAAACACACCGTTGGTACTTGAGCGGTCGGCGTTCATCTCTTTTTGCCAGTGGCGGCGGTGGGGGGCAGACACCCCTCACCATCCCTCTCCAAAAGGGGAGTTTGGTAAAGAGAGATGATAAAACCGATTTGTACCTTCCTAAAAGTGGTCCTTAGCTCGCTGTCTACTCTCTATATGCAATTTTCACACTGCCGTACTCAAAACGGAACTATCAATTCTATACTTTCATCTCCTCCTCATCTATCGTAAAAAAAATTACCGCTTTAGTCTATTATTTGAAATTAGCATCTTCAACTATGTAAATCGTTGACTTCACGCAGAAGTAATACTAAACATATAGTCAAAAAAAACCTCCTGTGCTTTGATCCGGTAAATGTTGAGTAGCTTCTCTGGTGTTCTCCGTTGAATTCGGTCTGCTGGACACAAGTTCCTTGCAAAACTTTACCAAACCAAGCACTCGAGAAGCTTTTGCAGAAAACAGCGGACGGTGATCGACATCCACTGACTGCAGAACCAACCTTTGCGTCGACATGGAACCTTGACCTATCCTATTTATAAACACTTTGAGAGCTGGGTTGAGAATCCAATCAGACTCGTATTAGCACCAGTGTCAACTTCGCAAGTGATGGACTTCCAAACGTTCGCAAACTTCAGGCCTTTTTCAGCCAGGACACTTCCGCAGAATTAGACAAAATTATCAAAAATCTTCCCGATCTCGTACTCCCCTTCCGATAAAAGAACGCTCTCGCTGGATCCATCCTTCACCTCCTTCACTCTTCGAGATCTTCGATGCTTCGATTTGCTGTTAGCCTTGCCTTAGATGTTCTTTAGGTGTCCACAGAGGTCGTCTTCATTCCACTCGATCCATCCCAAGTAAAAAATTTGATATTATGAGGGTTCTGTAGACCATGATTTAGACTTGTAGAATGCTTTAAACTGCTTGCAGCCATCCCAAGTAAAACTTGTAATGTTACTTGGAATGGCTGCAAGATCCATGACCACCGATCCACCTTGCCCCCCCTGCGAACCTTTTCGTCCCGTTCAAGTAGGATCGTTATCAAGAACCATTTTCATCGGGCTGCCGTCCAATATTCTTACGACGTGCCCAGCCCATGGTAGCTAGACTGATGCAAATTTTGACATTTTCGCTCCACAGTGCTCAAACGGTTCCAAATCGGGTCCTGATTAGTCTCTCAAAATTTGAACTCATTTGATAAGAAACTGACTTGGCACAAACCTTTTGAAGTTTATATGGAAATTACTATACACAGCTAAAAAAAAGTAGTGTAAATTTCCGTTACTATGATGCACATAAATGGAGCGTCATATATCATACAAATTTAGATCACAGATCGTGTAAATTTATGAGACATGTCATGCAATATCCCATATATTGTATGCAACTGTCCACTTTTGTTTGCAAAATTTCTTGCAAGTTGCTAATTTACGTGAAAAGGAAGTTTACATGTATGAATGTTTGCATGCATGGATGTTTACATCGCCAGTAAAATTCAGAATTTTTAGGTGTGTAGGAAATCCAAACTTTTTGTTCATTGTCTTCTTACCTTTTTCCATATTGCACTGTTCAAAAATTCAAAAGCTATAATTATGGAAAATTTTCTCAGCTTCAACTTAGCAGAATATAGTTGTTGAGCCAAACGTCAAATAAAATAGTTATTAATTGTTTAAGAGATTGATAATCTTCTGGCATGATCAAGCAGCTGTTTTGTGAGCAACACTGTATCTTGCAGTGTGACATAGTAGCCATGAATTTTGTGCTCTATTCCAAGCGCCAGAAACACCAATGTTGCCTGCTGAACAGTTGATTGAGCATAATCATAAGACATTAGTGGCTTGATTTATTGATAACTTTTGATGCTTACATTATATTGAAAAGTGGGTTTGCACAAAGTTGTAGCTGAGAAAATTCGCTACGAGCTAAGTTATCATTTTTTAAAGTAGAACGATATGGTAAATTGTTAGATAAATATGAACGAAACATTTGGTTTTCCTATAGTAATTTCCATATAAACATCAAATGGTTTGTGCCAAGTCAGTTTCTTATCGAATGAGTTCAAACTTTGGGAGACTAATCAGGACCCGATTTGGAACCGTTTGAGCATTGTGGAGCGAAAATGTCATAATTTGCATCAGTCTAATGGTAGCCCATGGTAGCTTCTTCCAACAGCTGGTGCAATTTGCGTTTCATCCGCCTCCTTCACATTCCGTCTTCCATGTGCACTCCACAGAAGATGGTAAGTACCCAACACCGTCAGTTCAAAAACATCAATGCGCGTTGGTCCTCCACAAGCAAGTCCATGTCTCGTGGCTATAGAGGAGTACCGGTCTAATCAGCACTTTGTAGACAGTCAACTTCGACATCCTAGAGAAACAAGCATAACCTACCCTTGACTCTTACAAAATGGTATCAATGCACCAAAAACAAGCACAAGAAACCATCTGTCACTCGAAAACCACATCTTGGGTCGCACCACTTCTGAGATCACTTTCGCTAAGCAGCACTTTATATTCCTCACAACCACCACGAGTGAAAGCCTTAGCCAACTGAACGGTGCTCCATCATGCATTATCGTTTTGTTAAGTATGAAACGTTATCTGCTCAAATTCAAAGCTTATTCTTATTGATAGAGTCGATGCACAAAAATGTGCTGATCTTTGCGACATTGTTTGTTTATTTAATTTACAAAACTGTTGCATGTTCCAAAAGGATAGATTTAATGGGAAAAAAAATTGTGACAGTTTGCTTACATTTAGCATTTCAGTTCTTATAGGACATTGGAGTCTAACCAGAATACCATAAATACCTAAAATGCGTTAAATCCAATTTATATTATTTATTAAAAGATACCATACTAATTAACATAAACTTCAAATCAGCACCCCCAAATCAAATGATTCATTCTATGAAAAATCATGTCCATGGCAGGCCCCTTTACCCTGACCTTGCAGCTTGCTCACAAATCCATAGATAATCATGTTGCACAGCTCCACTAGGTATACGGTTCACCGGGGAACCCCGTCTGTGAAATGTACTGAGATAAGCACGCCGATTTCCGTTTGAAAGAAGGTTCGTAATACCGAGGCACTTTCCCAAAGGCGGTAATTCCGGAATTCATAATAGTAAAAAAATGGTTAAACCGGTAGAAGCTTTATAATAATCCTTGAACACACAAATAGCATTAACCGTTTCTTCCAATGGCGTAGTGTGACTGACTGACACCCGGGGCGGGTTATGCGGATGTCACCCCTTATTAATCGAACTATTTTCAATTTTTGCAACACACAGTTATAGAAGAAAACTTGATTTAAAAAAATCTTGCGAGGGGTGAAGGTGGAATCTTTTTCAATATGTCGTGTGACAATTTGCATAAACCAGCATGAAATTTACAAAACCCATACACACCCAATGTCAAAATAGCCAAGTTCGAAATATTATAGCTTTTTATTGTAGCATACACACTTAGAAAAATTTATGTAAATTTAGTCGCTCTCAGACTGACATATACGAGCGTTAATTTTGACCAGTTTATCAAAAAAGGATCCTAATCGACCCAGGTCTTTTGCAATACTACAAAATAGGTTTGTTTGTTGCTAACACCGGTTTTCTCCGCACAGTTATCGAGGATAGCTAAAATATTTTCGATTTGGTTCAAATCAGGGCTATGAAGTGGCCATTCCATGGACTTTATACGACACCCAAGTAACATTTTATGTTTTATGAAATACTATAAAGCAACTATAAAACAACATTCATAAAACGCTGATCAAGGCTATTTTGTCATTAATGCATCCACCATAACCTAATTAAGACTAGAATATGTCTAGTTGGCCCACCCTGGAGAAGGTTCTGAAGGGTGTATTCTCGAAGCTCTTCAAGATTGATTTACTGCAAAAGGTTGTATACGAACGCATTGAGAACCATTTGAAAGCTACAATAAAAGCTATTTAGCAACAATAAAAACCCTTTCCGAGCCATTTCCCCTAGCCGCATGCTGAATCCACTAGGAAAGCATCAATCAAGATAGAAATGGATTTATGAATCCAATCTTATCGAAATAATTAAAATAGAAACTGATGGTATAAAAATCTTATTGAATATCCAAATTTATTACAATAGTTCTCATTAAGTGGCCTAGTTTTAAGTGCCATATTAAATTGTATGTGAAATGTACGTGAAAACATCGAAAAAATTAAGTCCACCCTCGTAAAACGTCGATTTGACCAAGTATTTAACATTGTAAAAAAAATATATTCTTCAGATCGAGCTTGGTCGAGATTTTTTTTATTATTTTCGCATATAAATGTTTGCTCATTGCTAAATTTACCAAAATATAGTTATATCTAAGGAAATATTGATTGAAAATCGAAGATTGTAAAAAACAAGCAAACTTATTGTAACATGGCGGTGGCAAAAAAGTTGATTTTCATGGGTCATTTGTGAAAAAGTTGTTTTGCTTTCAAGAATTCCTTAACAAATTAATAAGGTTTTAAAATGGCTTTTATGAAGAAAACTTGCAGGCTGAATTGTATTTATCTAAAGCCATTTTGCTTGATCCTAACCCGTTCAGATTTATGGCAGCATTTATGGAAGCAAAGTTGCCTGCAAAAAGTTAAACGTCAAAGTTTTTTTATCTTTCGATAGTTGCGCTGTGAGATCCAGGATACTTCCAGGCAGTTTTCTCCCGATGGATTGGGAGCAATTACTCAGATAAATTGCGATACTGTTTCACAACATTTCGCTTTTCGAACAGCTGGAAGCGTAATCGTTCCCGAAAAAGATCCCCTTCTTCTGGATGGTTACAGAAGTGCACCATCCAATGATGCAGAAATGTACGGTTGAATGAAATTTTCGAAGAGTCTTTCGCCGAATAAAATCGCTGCGTTGGATCGGAAACCAGCTGATCTCCGCTAACGAACAGTTTCGGTGGTTTGCTTTCGGTTGTTATTTCGATTGTCATCGCAATCTGGAGAAGGCTGGTATGTTTTTCAACTTTAGACAATGATTTATGAGTTCGAGAGCCCCGCTCACTTTACTCTTCTCCGACAGATGGTCAGTCGTTGGTGGTGTGCTGGTTCTTCTAAAGAAGTAAATTTATCTGAAATTGACTTGATTTTTTCATCCTACTTCGTCTATCCTTTGAGATTTCCTTGTCATAAATTTGGCATTTATTAACTATGAGGAATTATCTTTTAAGCTCAATTTGTAAACAAAGTAACTGGGGAGTTAATGATGCTTTTTAAAAAGGCTAAAAAGCAACAATAAATGCTTTTTTCTCTAATGCAAAACCTAATTGTTTTATGGTTGCTTTTATAATGATAGAACACGTTTATAAAGTATTTTATCATGACATTAATAAACAATTGCTAATAACGTTTATGCTTGAATTACAGAACAGTTTTAAGGAGGGATTGATAACCGTTTTAAATTTATCTTTAAAATAAGGCAGTTTTTGACTTTCTTGGCAGACTATGAAAGGTTTTTGAAACAGCAAAAAGCTGAATTTCTAAGCTGGAATGTTTTACACTTTAAAATGCTATATTTAAACTAAATGGATTGTTCATTGCCGTTATAAAACCATCATAAATCATAGTGGATGCTAAATGGTTACTGAATTGTTACTTGGGCAGTAACGGAAAAAAATACAAGGGACAGCCATATGGGGTTGTACGCAATGGTGACGTAGGAATACGTGGTCTTATATAATAAATCTTATTTGTTAACTGCTGCAGGACCTTGTGTTTTGTGTAGGAATAGGAATTTGAGCGGGGTTTTTTTCTGTTTACACTCTTTAGTATGACGCACTTGACATAGATGGATCACAGCGACTCACGAAGAGCTACTGATTCCGATCAATAGCTGTGCGGCTTCTTCCTCCTTCTATCGATCGTCATGTGGGCTGCAGCTCGCATCTTGCAGGTAGCCTTTAGTTGTGTATTTGAGAACACCACCACTCATCACGTGGTGATTGAATAAACACCGTTTGGTGAGACCGGATAAAATTCAACTTTGAAATCTGTGTTAGGGAAATTGCTTTTCGCAGGCAATCAGTGATAATTTTCAAAGCAACAGTTTCACATTCGTGTAATTTTCAATAGTGACATTTAAAAAAAATTATAAAGTCTTAAATTTTACAGATGTGTAGAAATTTATCTGATCGATTGGAACATCCCAAGTAACATTGTAAGCTTTATAGAGGTTTTATAGTATTCTACAAGTCCAAATCATGGTCTACAGAACCCTCATAAAACCAAAATTGTTGCTTGGGATGTTATTTGGGACAGATTCCCTACAACAACCCACGCCGTGTTCCAAGGTTGGTTGGAGATGTCTGTCCTGTAGCGCCTCGTCACTTTTCCGCCACACTCTTAGACGTCGTTGCTTGTTGAACAGCTCAAACTTTGATTCATCCTACCAGACAACACGTTTCCAGAACTACAGCGGCTTGTTAATGTGATTACGTACTTAATCGGAGTGGTCCGGTTCCAAGTGCTGAACATACCGAAAACAATAGTTTGTCGAGTGCTCTAAACCTACAAGGATCCCTGAGTGTGGAATAGAATCAGCGGACCTACGAAAAAACTGGAAATCGTCTACTGCACAGCAAGGTGTTGATGTGCGTTAAAGCCAACCCCAGTCTTTCGATCCGAGATGTGGCCACAAGGTACAACGCCAACTTTCAAACGGTGCGGAACATCCTTGTCAGGGAAGGATACAAGTCGTACAAAGCCAGTAAACATCCGAACCAGCACATGAACCAGAATTCCGTGGCCAAAAAGCGTGCAAGGCTCTTGTACGACCGTGTTTTGACGAAACACAAGGGCTGCACTTTGATCGATGACGAAATATACGTCCAACTCGGTTTTAAGCAGCTTAACGGTCAAAAGTATTACATAGCGACTGGACGTGGGGATGTACCGCTAAGATTCAAGTTCGTGTTTGAATGAAAACGGAACAATTCGTCACATCCTCGACGATGACATCCCAAGTATCGAAGAATGCCTGAAAAAGTGTGTATTGCCGTTCATCTGCAAGCATAAGGGGCAAAGACATGGTAAGCGTGTTTACCTCTCACCCCATCCCAGAAGGTTGAGTAATGCTGAGCTATTAGGGTGTTCAACACGGATGAGACTGGCGAGCTGTATGTTGTTTGGAACGAAGATGCCGCGCTTGGCATAGATGGCCCACAGCGGCTCACGACGAGCAACTGAATCCAATCAGTATCGGTGCAGCGTCTTCCTCCTCCTTCGGTAAATCGAGGGCTCTTGAGGGCAGCCTTGATAGCTAGCTACTTGCGGTAGCCTTTAGTTGTGTACTGGAGAAAAATGTATGAAATGATGACGACCGGACACCACCACACACGGTGATTGAATAAGCGCCGCTCGGCGAGACCGCATGGAATTCGATTTTGAACTTTGTGTTAGGGAATGCACTTTTTGAGAGCAATCTGTGATAATTTTGAACACAGCTGGGCATTTGTGAATTTTCAATAGTGACCTATTGAAAATTGATAAAGTGTTCATGGTTGCAGATTTGTAGAAAAAATTCCAATTGATTGGCTTTTTTAGAATAAAACTCCATCCACTATTGATAGAGTTATAAGTGGTCAAAACCAGACCACTTTTCGTAACGCGGTCGATTTTGGCTTTTTAAAATTGCACGCCCAATATGTTACTGAAAGACGTAATTCCCATTAGCTTACTCCCTGTCAAAAACCAACTTTTACTATAATTGTACATTAATTCCGAGGAACAGCAGCTCAATTAGATGGCAACATTACAAAGCCAACGAATATTAGAGCTTTGAAAAAAACATAATACATATTGTATTTTTATTTTTTATTATTGATTATTTATAGCGCATTCTGTACCCTTGCCTTTGCGGTATAACTACTGATCAGATGCAGAAGTAGTAGGACGATTCTTTGCTCGACTGTCGAGCTGTTCAGTCCGTATTTTCGCTCGAGTTCTCGATTCGATTTTGTTTCGTTTTGTGCTGTCGCGTTGCGCCATGGAAGTGTCACCACCTTCTCGCGTTCTGGCAAGTTTACTTGAACTTGCAAACACGAAACAAATGGTGCGTAAACGTGCCAATGAGCCAGCAGCGGGCCCTTCAAAGAAGGTGCTAATCCAGGGTTGCTTCCACTCATTTGCTATAAAAATGTGTTTTTCTGGATTATGAAATTATTAGATGATGTAACAATTTGTTGTACTTGTAGTAACAAGAAGAGGGTGTTAATGTTTGTGTTTGACTCATAAAACCTGTCAATTTCGCTTGCATAGCGTCACAATCAGCGATCGTATGATTCGTGAGCGTTCACTCAGAGTGAGCGCTCACGAATCATAAAATCGCCGATTGCGACGCACTGAAAGCAATATTGACAGGTTTTATGTGTCAAACACATACTTAACAACCTTTTCTTGTAGCTTACAAGTACTAATTATCATTATAACATCTATTGATTTCATAATTCTGAAAAACAATTTTTTATAGCAAGTGAGTGGAAGTAACCCTGTGCTAATCAAGCCAAGCGCGTCGCAGGATGACGCCGGAAAACGAGTACTGCAAGCCAACCAGTATGCAGTACTCCCGGAAGAAAATGGCGATGGTGACGCCGTTCCCATTGCAAGACGAGAGCGGATTCCCCCGCTTTTCACGCCGATGAAGAATGTTGCCAAGCTGGGTGCCGAACTGGCAAAACACAAGCTGCTGCCTCGCTTCAAGCTTTGCAGCATCGGTACCAAAATCATGTGCTCCAGCCTGGAGGAGTACAAACAAATAAGAAGTTTCCTGAAGAACAACAACGTGGACTTCTTTACGCATGATCTGCCATCGAGCAAGCCACTGGAGGTGGTTTTGCGTGGATTACCGTCGTTCGAGGCTGCTGCGGTGAAGTCCGAGCTGGAGCGGCTTGGGCTCCAACCTGAGGCCGTGTTCCAGATGAACAGGCGTCCCAACCAAAACACCAGCTTCCGTGATCAGTTGTTCCTGGTGCATTTCACGAAGGGATCCATCAGTCTTGCGGCTCTGAGATCCAAAATCTGGGACCTGTTTCAGGTCATCATCAGTTGGGAGCATTACAAACCCCAACATCGTCATGTAACGCAGTGTATGAACTGCCTCTCATATGGCCATGGCACCAAAAACTGCCACATGAAGACAAACTGCGGCAAGTGTGCTGGAACTCACTCAACTGCGTCCTGTGAGCAAGTCGATGACATCGAGCCAACGTGTGTCAACTGCGGTGGAAACCACCAAGCCTCCAATCGCGGATGTTCCAAGCGAGTGGAGTTCATTAATATCCGTCGGAAGGCCACAATCAACAACCAGCTCGGTCGCCTTCGTAATCATCGTTCACCTCCTGTACTAACGGAAGTCCAGTACCCAGCTCTCCAGCCCCGTCGACATGTTCCGAACCTAGCCCCGCTTCCGCTCAACAACCAACAAGCCAATCCCGCGAGTATCCAAATGATTCCCAACAGTCGGACAGTTCAGCATCGTCTCGCTGTTGCTGCGGCCCAGCCAATTCCAGGTTCATCCACCGCCCCTGGTTTATCATACGCTGGTGCTGTCTCAGGTGAATCTGTCGACGATTCTCCGTTCACCTCGGAGGAACTTGTGACGCTCGTGGCCGAGGTCATCATCATCATGCGTACCTGCAAGACTCGATCTGAACAGCTTCATGCTGCCTTGTAAATCGTCACCAAGTATGGACCGTGAAGCTATAAAAATTGCAAATTGGAACGCTTGCTCACTGACGAACAAGCATAGTGAGCTACTCGATTTCCTCAACACCAAGGAGGTCGACATTGCTATCATCACCGAGACGCATCTGAAGCCCGAACTGAACGTATTCCTTCCCGACTTCCGGCTCGTCAGACTTGATCGCACCTGCTCTGGAGGTGGAGGAGTGGCCATCGCTGCAAGACGGAACATCAGTTGCCGGCTGCTACCAAACTTCCAGCTGAAAACAATTGAAGCCATCGGAGTGGAGGTGAGCACATCACTTGGCCCAATCACCATCATCGCGGCCTACTGCCCCAAGCAAACCAACATCAGGGACGGGTCGTCAGTGGCCCTCCGCAAAGACATCATCAAACTCACCCGGAGGAGCGGGAACTTTATCATCGCTGGCGATCTGAACGCAAAACATCAAGCTTGGGGCAACGGTCGGAGCAATAGAAACGGCATCATCCTCAATGAAGACCTGCAAGAGGGCCACTATACCATCTTGGCCCCGGACTCTCCCAATCGGTTGAGTCGGTCTGGGGTCCATGCGACCATCGACATCTTCGTAAGCAACATGGGACACAACGTCTCGCAACCTGTGGCATTCCAGGAGCTGAGCTCGGACCACTACCCGGTGATGGCCGAAGTTGGATCCTCGGTAAACCGATTCGAAGCTTCCCGGCGCAACTACCATCGAGTCAACTGGGGGCAATATCAACACTGCGTCGACACAACCATCGACTACGATGTCCAACCGGGGACGTCGGAAGATGTTGACCGGTGTCTACAAACCATCGAGGAGGCGATTTCCCGGGCCAGGGAACAACACGTGCCAGTATCCAGACAGGTGAGTAACACTCTGAACCTTGACAGCCCTACCAAAGATCTCATTAGACTCCGTAACACCATTCGTAGGCAGTACCAGCGTACTGGCCTGCCTAACTTGAAGACCAATTGTAATCGATTAACAAAGATCATTCAGGCCAGGATGGTGGATCTCAAAAATAACGATTTTGCTAGTAAGATCCGCTCTCTCCCAGATTGTCCCTTCTGGAAACTTACAAAAATTCTTAAAAACAAGCCTAGGCCCATTCCCTCACTGACCCCACTGGATCGTCCCGGCGACCCAGTGGTTCATCTGATAACTCCTGAAGAGAAGGCTGCGGCGATAGGTCAACACTTCGTCAGCTCCCATAATTTCGGACAAAACATCGTTAGCCCTCATGAATCTGAGGTTGCTGAAAATGCAACCAATCTTCATCAGATTCCTAACATTTTTCCAGATGAATCCGAGATTACGGCTGACGAACTGTTGGCCTATATCAAATCATCTAAAAACATGAAGGCCCCAGGTTTCGACAACATCCTGAATCTGGACTCAAACACTTGAGTTCCAGATTCTACAACCATCAGGCATCGATTTTTAATCAGTGCCTCAGATTTGGCTACTTCCCCTCGTGTTGGAAGTCAGCTAAAGTCATACCCATCCGGAAACCTGGGAAGAATCCGTCCTTTCCTTCAAGTTATCGACCAATCAGCCTACTCTCAGGGTTATCAAAACTATTCGAAGGAGCATTGTATCACCGGCTCAGTGGTGGTACAGTGGTGGAATGGTCCAAAGAGGTCGTGTACCTCGGGCTAACACTAGACAGCAAGCTTCTTTTCAGGGAGCACGTTGACAAAACAAAAACCAAGTGCAACATCTTGATAAGATCGTTGTATCCACTTATCAACACGAAGTAAACCCTGTCCCTGAAAAATAAGCTTGCTGTCTACAAACAAATCATCCTTCCTGTAATCGAGTACGGTATGCCAATCTGGGAGAGTTGCGCAAAATGCCATCACCTTAAACTCCAAAGGATCCAGAACAAGATACTTAGGGTGGTCCTAAACAGTCCCCCGCGGACTAGAAATTCTGAGATCCACTTCCTGGCTGGAATTCAAACATTAGAAGAAAGGAGATTATTCATCCTGGAAAGGTTCAGAGACACCTGTCTGAGATCAAATCATCAGATCATACGTGATCTAGCACGTTAGGTTAAGTTATACTCGTAGTTAGGTAGGTTATCACTTTTTTCAATTCAAATAAAACACATCCACAAAGGGATATTCTGTAAACTAGTTGAAACACGCAAATATTAAATTAGAATATCAAATTAAACAAAGATGAAGAGCCAAGTAGGCTAATCAATTAAAATGATAAATCAATGTACTACCATAATCAACAGAAATAAACATAATTTTACTGCTACGAAGTAGTAGGACGCAGCGGATTTGATGGTGATAGTGTGAATTCTACTCAAACAGTTTCAGTGAGATTGATGGGTCCTTCTTAACAAACCATCCTGTAAGGAAGCTTAGTGCGTATTGCGAATTGCGTTATTTGAGTTGTGGATCGTATCGTTGGAAGGAGACCTGTTGTTTAAACACTGAATAAAGTGGGAGTTTGTTGTTGTGTCTTAAACACTCCCACTTTACTGAAGCTCCTAAACTACGTAGACACTTAAGTAAGGGGGGGGGGTAGAAAAGTGACTACGGTTCACACAAATTTAAAACATCTCAAAATCGGTCTTCCTTATTTGTAAAGTGCCCGTGAGGCAGTGTAGAGGGGGTCTCATTAATGCTGAGCAGGGCGTACCCCAACTGTTACTACGTAGAGTGTTCAACCATCGGATGACATTGAATCTACCTTGGTATATTTAGGAATACTTCACACAAGGAACACACGCAGAAGATATTATGTATATTTTTCTGCTATGCAAACTGAGATTGAAAAAATGAAATCTTCATGTACAAGCTAGGGATCATCATGGATTTAATCTTTTAACGTGAAAGAAATTACATGACTTCATTTCTTAACATTTTATTTCGCATCATATTCTAGGGTGTCGATCCGCATGACAATGTCTCACAGTCTTCGTCTTCGCAAATGTCACACAGCTGCAGTACCTTTCCATCGTACTTCTGAATCGCAAAACGATCTGAAAAAAAGATACACAAGAGAAAAAAAAAATAATAGTGAGTCTTCTTCTGTATTGATACGCAACTGTTCCGTCAATTTACCTCTATGATAGTAATCGTACACAGTGATGTACGATGGCAAATGTAATGCAATTTTGAACCGACGAACAGCAGTTACACGGAAGCACTCGCTGTTTGAGCCCAAATTTTCGTAGTAGACAACAACCGAAGTATCTGCGTATCGCCGTTCGATTTTCTGTAATGAGAGTAATGAAAATTTTATAAGCAGCACCGAACTCAGCTGGTGGCGATATCCGCCAACCATTCATGAAGGACAAACATATTTCTTTGGACGACTTTCCGATTCGTAAATTAACTAAATATTTATTAGGCAAGTATGGAAACGTAACATAAAACGATTAAATGTTTCTTAAACCTTGGAAGAATGCTCAATTACTGCGTCCCGTGTCTTTTTAGGCTGTGAACCATTTGCCGAGTTAAATTTAACTCGTGGTTAAAATTGACATTTCGAAAGTTATTCTGTATGTTCGAAAATCCCTGTGCTGTCGATCGACTGGTTTTCGAAGAGAACTCAGCCACAGTTGTCAAAATTTAACTTCTTGTCTGTCAGAAATAACCACGCTCGGATAGCATGGTTAATCGATAACATTTCCATCTGTCAAATTTTAACCAAAAGTTAAAAATCCATCAAATGGTTCAGAGCCTTAGGCTTTGAACCATTTGCCGAGTTAAATTTAACTCGTGGTTAAAAGTGACATTTCGAAGTTATTTTCTATGTTCGAAAATCCCTGTGCTGTCGCTCGACCGGTTTTCGAGCCACGGTTGTCAAAAATTAACTTCTTGTCTGTCAGAAATAACCATGCTCGGATAGCAGGGTTAATCGATAACTTTCCATCTGTCAAATTTTAACCAAAAGTTAAAATAATCCACCAAATGGTTCAGAGCCTTAGTCAGAGGAGTGAAGCGACGGGCAAGCGTCTAGAATGAGCTTCCAGAGGAAGGTTCTTTACAATTGTGTTTTTTTATAATCTTCTTTGGAAGCTTCTTTTAGAAGCTTGCTCTTCACAATCTTCTTTTAAAAGCTTATTCTAGACGGTTGCCTGACACTCCTTTCCTCTAACTATAAAAACACGGGTAGGACAGTACCGTATGCGTGATAATGTATGCACCAATCCTGAAAGGGATAAAGTGAATACAAAGGTGTATATCGGCATTCTTAGTAAGTATGTACTTCCGTGGATTACAGAGCAATATGTACCGGAGCTGAATATGGTCTTTCAGTTAGACGGGGCACCACCTCGAACCGCACGCAGAATTGGCTGAAGGAACATCTGTCGTTCTGGCCGAAAGATATGTGGCCGCCATCTAGCCCCGATCTTAACCCCTTAGATTATTCAGCGCGTCATGAAGGGTAAGGCCTGTGCCAAACGCTACTCCAGTAAAGCAAGGCTCAGACAAACATTGACCCGCGCCTGGAGAGATATGGATCCGGATTATATTATCCGATCATGAGGAGCATTTTAGAAGTGTGTTGAAGCCGCATTTGTTCAAGGTTTAAGGAGCATTCCATCGTTTTAATATTTGAAAAAAACATTTTTCTATGAATTTTTCGGGTTGGAATTCTTCGGGTTGGTCTCGACTTGATGATTAGACTTGTCACACAAATAAACCAATAAAAAAAATGGTAAAGGCATCGAAAGCTCTCATTAATAGCTGTGGAAGTGCATCTACACTAAGTTGAGAGCACGTAATAAGCTGAAATGCGATATCTATGCAATAAGCTTGAAATGCGAACAAGAAGAAGAAGAAAATGCATATCGTCCCTGCCCTTTGGTTAGTGAGGGTTAGAGTGCGTTCTGACAGGTTGGTCAAGGCAGATTTCATGTGTTAGTAACTGATGACACTGGACATTCACTTTAAAAGGTGCGTTTCATATGTCAACACATGTAGTTCCAAAGAGCCTGAATGAAATGTGGAACGTAACTACAAATTAATACGACAATATTTTAATAAAATAAAACCATCTTGAATAGGATTAGCACTATAGCTTAGTGTATTGTAAAGAGATTAATTAGAACATATGAAAATAAACTAGCGTCATCGTTGACATATCATCAGTAGCGTTTGACCTAAAACTTCAATTCTTACCAATAACAACAATACACAACGAAAGCGGTAAGCAGCGTTGTCAGGTCGTTTTCAAAAAAAAACTGGACCAGGTAAAATATAAAATCAGGAAAAATCTGGAATGCTCCAGAAAATCCTCTTTTTAACATAATGCTATTGAAATCAAAGTGATGTGTGTGTGTAAAAATAGGTCAGTATGATCATCTGGAATTTATTTAGAGTACAAGAATGGCTATAAATTACATGTTTAAATAAATTATATCAAGCAAATAACATGTAAGCATTGCTAAAATCATCCAAAAATTGAAAAGTATTGATACGGTGTGCCCAAAAAGTTCAAATCTCTATTACACAGCATTTCAAAAATTGAGTTAAATGGGTAAAAACAGCAAAAAATATTATTAGAATTGTTTTTTTAACTGCAACTTTTTTAAAACGAATAAGAAGCAAAGAATCAAGGAAATTTGATAAGATGAATTTTTCGAACTAATAGTCGATGTAGTCCTTACTTTTTGATGCAGTACCAGAATTTAAAGATTTTATTAGTTCTAAATAAGTCTAATATTACTCTGAGGTTGATCAGATTTACAGCTTAATTCTTGACATCATACAACACACAACACTCAGCAGGCCAGTAGGCAATTAAAATTAAATTTAAAATTAATCTCCATAGAAACATTAGACAGAATTCCTTTGAAATTATTCTCACGATTCGTATCAGCATACTCCTTAAGTTTCATCATAAGAATTTTCTATGATTACTCTTCCGGATTGTATTTCCTTTATTGACAAAATCTCTATGCAATTGTCATCAGAGTTGACAAGACAATTGACACCGTCTTCAACCAGAGGTTGCACAGACTGAATAGTTAACGCTAGACAACGGACAACACACCACACCCATTAGACCAGTAGGGGAATTTTCAGGTTGCCAAAAAAAATTTTTTTTTTTTTTTTATGAGGCCCGCCAACACACCCCCACACCAAAGAGCTCACACTGAGAGCCCCCTGGTAGTGGACTCCTCGATAATATTTTTTTTAACGTTACAAAAGAAAACATATAGACATATAAATATAACATTACTAATTTTAAAGGTGTGTGATGCAAAATAACAATCATTAACAAGGTTAGGATGTACCCAGTGCAACAAAGTTCCTTTGAAGGGATCCTAACTCTTAAACAATTCAATTAATTAATATATACAATTTAATATTTGCACCGGCTGGAGCGGGAATCGAACCCTCACTTCGTGGCACTCACAATACGCCGGAAGCCAACAAAGATGGATGTAATTCTACTCAGAAGTAGCTTGAAATTCTCCTTTGATTTCACAAGGAATTCACCTCACACTTAACTGTGATCTATTTTCAGAATTACCTTAAAATTCTAATGCCGGTAAGTCGTGCAAGGTGTGGACAACGCTTAGGGTTGCTAGTTCGTGTGAAAAAATATCGTCATGTTGCCAGTTATTTTATTTGGCTTCGCGTGTCTCTCTCTCTCTCTCTCTTTTTTAGGGCTCATGGAATTAAGTTTGCTATTTGTTCTTATGTGAAAATTTATCAGACAACTTTGCTGAAGACCACTTTTTTATTAGACTTCAAAGTAATTAGTTATTAACCTTAATTAATCCACCTATGTTGATATCTGACCCTTCTCTAATAGAAATTCCGACAAAGATGAGGTGATAAATGAATTCTCCTGTGATTTAGGGTATCGCATGTTGGATTTTGACCCTGGGCAGAAAATGGCCACTTGCCCGGAATATGCCTAGATGTGGCCAGTGTGATCCTGGGCACACTGAATTGCTACCAAAGAAATGGTTTTTTAATCCTCATGACATTGGATTACATGTCACATGATAGGTTTTATTCATTTCAGGTCGGTTTTAGTATCACGATTTATACAAACCTGAACAAATTTCGACCATATCTCCGGAACCAGTTGATCGATTCCAAAAATATTCAAAGCATTCTACACTGAATTTCTATTGAGAATGCAAATAATATTTTTCAAAGAACGAAATTAATGATGTTCATCAGAATTAACATAACATAAAACAGTATGTGTGAGTAACCATAAGGTTCATGTGATTTGGAAGTGCAATTTTCAATTATGAGATCACATGAAAGTCATGTGAAATTCACATGGATATTTTCGACCGGTTATGTGATTTATTTTATGAGTGTATGAGATCATAGTACCTTGTCTTACACACATCTTATAAAAACAGTAAGAATGATCGATAGACAGAACCAGAAATTGATGAAAATGCCATTAGACACCACACAGCAAAAAATAAATTTTAATATTACATCCAAGAGGATGCACTTCAATTGCTTTAATCATGTCGAAAATCTCATGTAATTTTTATGGTCACAAAAATAAACAAATGCAGTTAAAGCAGCGTAATGTCAGTTCATGCACTGTATTAATGATAATTTTGACCTTTTTGGCTAGTAATATTACACCATATTTTTGACACGATTGAAGTCCATCCACTTTGATGTGATATCAAAATTAATTTTTTGCTGTGCATGCTAATTGACTAGAGTGATGATGCAAAATTTGAAATTTTCGCTCCACAGTGTTCAAACGGTTTCAAATCGGGTCCTGATTAGCCTCCAAAAGTTTAAACTCATTTAATAAAAAACTGACCTGGCACAAACCATTTGAAGTTTATATGTAAATTACTATGGGAAAACCAAACTTTTTGTTCATTGTCTTCTAGCCTTTTTCCATATTGTACTGTTAACAACTTTGCAGAAAATTGTTTTTCAGATTGATAATCTTATGGAAAGATTAAGCAACTGTATTGAGGACAACACTGTAAACTGCAGTGTAACATAGTACACGGCGAATGAGAACGACTCAAATTTGAGTTTAGTTCACTCATAATCGCCAAAAGTGCAGGCACTCAGCGATGAGTAAAATTTGTCTCATGGTTTCCTGTGGAAAACCTGTGGTGGCGGGGGGGGGACACCCCTCACCATCTCTCTCCAAAGGGGGAGTTTGGTAAAGATAGATGAAAAAACCGATTTGTACCTTCCTTAAAAGTTGTCCTAGCTCGCTATTCTAATATCTATATGCAATCTTCACACTGCCGTACT